GGGCTGCAGTGTTTCGGGTTAGATCTAAGTGTGCGGGCCAGCGTTTAGCATAACCCCTCGCCCCTCCCCTCACCCCTCTGTAGGGACAGGAGACCGTGTAAATCGCAAGCGAGCGCGGATTTCTTGAGTCGGCGCTGGACGCTCCTCCCTGGCGCGCGGAGCGCGCCAGGGGGCGGCGATGGAGGCGCCGCCGGGGCGGTCTAGCGCCGACTCAAGAAATCCGCGCGGACCTCCCAAAGTGTGTGTGTGTGTATATATATATATGTTTGTCATCTGTTGCTCTTCGGTCCTCCCCTATTCCGCCCCTGTCCGCTGCGACAAGCACGAAGGACATGATGGGCACCCCCGTGTCCCCACCCCTGCTCCCCCCTCCCCTCGCCTGAGGCCGTCCGCGGCGACAGCACAACCAAACACATGACCGAAGCGACCACGAGACCGAAACCGATCGAAGCCGACAGGGCGCAGCGACGCGGCGCGACACGACCAGCCGACCGAGCCGAACCGACCGAGCGCAACCGTCGCCGACGCGCGCGACCGACCAGACCGCGCAGCGGACGTCCTGGCTCCCCCTCCCCTTCCCTCTGCAGAAAGGTCGAGGAAGCTCATGTTGGTGATGGGTACCAGGGTTCGAGCTAAACCGCGCTCTCTTCTTTTGTTGTTGGTTTCCCTCGCCCTGTCGTCGTTCCGCCTTTGAAGCGAAGCGAAATCAGAACGAAAATGGCCCACGAAATCGCCAAAACACCGTTTGGCTCGAGCCCTGCTGGGTACAGCCAAGGCCTTGCCTTATGGGACCTCTGAGAAGAGAGAGGACGTCCCCCTCTGGGCCCGGCTGCGCACAGATGCGCGAGGAGCGAGCGACCATGGGATGACCTGAGGAGCATCGAAGGAGGAGGGGAGGAGGAGGAGAACGAGGAGGAGGAGGAGGAGGAGGAGGAGGAGGAGGAAGAGGAGGGGAGGAGGAGGAGGAAAAGGAGGGGGAGGACGAGGATTCCCGGTTCCCAGTTCCTGATTCCCGGTTCCTGGTTCCCGGTTCCCAGTTCCCGGTTCCAGAACCCCAATTCCGGGTTCCGGAGGAGGAATAGGAGGAGGAGGAGGAGGAGGAGAGGAGAGGAGGGGAGGAGAGGAGGAGAGGAGGACAGACGACGAGACGACGAGGTCAGTCCCTCAAGGAGGGCGGCAACGAAGGACACGGGGGGGGAGAGGTGAGAGGAAGGACGAGAGGAGGAGAGGAGAGAGGCGGAGGGGGGGAGAGAGGCGGAGGACAGGCAGGACAGGAGGAGGAGAGGCGACGAGGAGTGAGCAGGAGAGAAAGGAAAGGGCAGGAGGAGAGAGCCAGGAGAAGGGCCTAGGGCAGAAGGAGCTCTCCTCGAACCTCCCATGACCATCTGCTCCCTCCGGGCCTCGCCTCTGCTTCCCCCTCCGCCCGCCATCCCACCCTCACGACGACGACGACGACGACGACGACGACGACGACGACGACGACGACGACAGCGAAAGTGAAAGCGTCATCGACGACGACGACGACGACGACGACGACGACGACGACGACGAGGTTGTTTCCTCGAGGAGGGCGTCGACGAGGGACGAAGGGAAAGGGTAGAGGTGAGAGGAACGATGAGAAGAGGAGAGGAGAGCGCAGGAGTGGGGAGGAGCGAAGAGTGGGGGAGTGACAAGCTAGGTGCGATCTCGTCATATCTGCCTTCCTATCCCTCCCTCCGATCCCTTACCAACGCGCAGAGCCCACCTCTATTCCCGCAGTCCGATGTTGAAGAAAACAACGATCCCCAAGGGGTACGCGATGCACAGCACTGCTTGGTATTCAGAAGTCAATATTGTATAGCATCGCATTGCAGCACAAGGCATGGCGTTGCACTGCTGCAAGCAACATAGCATGTGATGTAGAGAGAGGGAGTCAGGAGAGAAGAGCGCTTAGGAGGAGTGAGAGCGAGATGTGAAGAGGAGTGAGAGCGAAGATGAGGATAAGCGATGAACGAGAGGAAAACGAGCAGGAGGAGGAGGAGGACGAGGAGGAAGAGGAGGAGAAAGAGAGGAGGAGGAGGAGTAGCAAGAGAGGCAGAGGAGTAGGAGGAGGAGGAGGAGGAGGAGGACGACGACGACGAGAAGGAGGAGGAGGAGAAAGAAGGAGGCGGAAGAGGAGGTGGAAGAGAGGCGGAGGACGAGGAGGAGGAGGAGGAGAAAGAAGGAGGCGGAAGAGGAGGTGGAAGAGAGGCGGAGGAGAGGAGGAGGAGGAGGAGGAGGAGGAGGAGGACGAGGAGGAGGAGGCGGAGGACGAGGAGGAGGAGGAGGAGAGGAGGAGGGGAGGAGGAGGAGGGAGCGAGGAGGAGCGAGGCGGAGCGAGAGCGAGGCAGAAACTCCTCCTCGGAGGGTGGGGGAGCGGGGAGGGGCCTCGAAGCGCTGGCTCGCAGGGTCCTCGGCCTCGGCGACCGCGGCGGCCTTCCTGCCCTTCGACGAGGGGGAGCTGGGGTGCGCGACGCGGGGCCTGGGGGGGGAAAGGGTCATGGTCTTCATCGTCCTTCTCCTCCTCATCCTCCCTCCTCCTCCTCCTCCTCCTCCTCTCCTCCTCCTCCTCCTCCTCCTCCTCATCCTCATCCTCCTCATCCTCATCCTCATCCTCATCCTCATCCTCATCCTCGTCCTCATCGTCCGCGTCCTCGTCCTCATCCTCGTCCGCGTCCTCTTCATCCTCGTCCTCGTCCGCGTCCCCCTCCTCCTCCTCCTCCTCCTCCTCCTCCTCCTCCTCCTCCTCCTCCTCCTGCTCCTCCTCCTCGTCCTCCGCCTCGTCGTCCTCCCTCGTCCCAGTCGGCGTTGGAGCTCAGGCCAGGGCACCCGACGCGAGGACCCTTCGCCCACATGTCCTCACGAGACTCGGCCCCTGCACTCGGCAAGGGGGCAGGGGCGATGGTGTCAGTCAGCCGCGCACGTGTTCTCTTGCTAATGCGTATTGGATCACACAAACCTCCCTCTGCCATCTCGGCAGAGAGACTAGAAGGTACAAGCACTGAATTCAAGCCTTGGGATGTTATTGTTTTGACGGGGACACCCTTATGGGCACGGGATGAGGCGGCACAGACCGTTTACACGAGATACCACTGGGGTACAGATGGGAGGGACGAAGGGGCCGTGGGTGTCCAAGGCATGCGGCATCTGCTTCCTGATTGGCCATGGCATAGAAGCGAGAGCACTGCGCACCATCTTCTTACCCCCCACGAGATTCCAAGGAAGAGCAGCAGGTATCAGACTGGTCACGAGACAGCACAACGTCACTATCCTCAGCGCCGACCGTCCTCCCACCTGCTACAAACAGTACGGCACGATATCTTCAAAAATCCTGGCTGGATTGGGTGCAGGAGAAATCAGGCAAGGTTGCAATCCGTTCTACCGTATTATACACCAGAGAAAAAACCCAAGCAATAGATGGTTTGATGAATCGTGGGATCGATAAAGAAATCGATAGATAGATCGACCAGGAACCCGGGAACCTGGAAGCCAGGAACCCACCGAGATCGGCCCAGAAGCAATAACCAGGAGCCCGGGAAACCGGAACCAGGAGCCCGGGAACCCAGCCGGCTGCCGAAATCGGCGGAAAACTTTCGCCAAATCTTTCAATATCCGCCAGGATCCCTTCAGGGCAGTTTTTAATACATAGGATGTTTTACATGATTACTTTATGAATAAGTTTATGCATGAGCTCGTCGTTGTTATTAATACTAAATCCCTGCATGTTTGATACATGATCCGCATGCGGAGCATGTATTAAAAACTGCCCTGTTCAGTGCAAGCACTGATTGGGGAAATAGTGGGAGGATATGTGAGCAACAAATGTGGTCTTCCGCTCGCCGCGCCTCGACTGCCCAAGGTGGGCAGGGCCGAACAGGACAGGCAAAACTGCGTCCACCTCGCCTCGTCGTCGCGCCGCGACGGGGGTCGGGGCGCCTTCGGCGCGCGGTGGCTGCCCGCGACGGGGGTCGATGTGGGGCTGTCGGCGGCGGGGGTGGCGCCCCCCCGACGCTTATTAAGAAACTCGGAGGAGGCAAGGTTGCAAGCCGTTCTGCCATGATAATGGGAGGCTATGTGAACGACAAACGTGGTCTTCCGCTCGCCTCGCCAGATCTGAGGAGGAGGATAAGGGAGGAGGAGGATGTAGGAGGAGCAGGAGGAGGAGAAGGAGGAGGAGGAGGACGACGACGAGGAGGGGGAGAAAGGAGGAAGAAGGAGGAGGAGGAGGAGGAGAAAGGAGGAGGAGGAGGAGAAAGGAGGAGGAGGAGAAAGGAGGAGGAGAAAAGGAGGAGGAGGAGAAAGAAGGACGAGGAGGAGGGGGAGAAAAGAGGAGGAGGAGGAAGGAGGAGGAGGAAGGAGGAGGAGAAGGAGGAGGGCGAGGAGGAGGAGGAGGAGGGGGAGAAAGGAGGAGGAGGAGGAGGAGTATATGTGAACAGCAAGTGTTGTCTTCCGCTCGCCACGCCGCTCGACTGCCCAAAGCGGGCAGGGCCGAGCAGGACAGACCAGACTGCACGGGCCTCTTGCCCGACTTCGGGGTGCCTGCCCGCTCTCACGGCAGAGATCTGAGGAGGAGGAGGAGGAGGAGGAGGAAGAAGAGGAGGAGAAAATGCCCCAAAAATTAAACAAATAATAATCCAAAAATAGTCTGGGGACTATTTTTTTTGTATTGTTTACCTTTGGGGGGCATTTTTGGGGTACTTTTTATTTGTCGTCGAAAATCCCCCTGTAGGGGGACACGCCCGACAGAAGCCGAGTCCGCAAACACAGGTGGCAGGAGGGAGGAGGGATTCTTAGGGGGGCCACATGTTAACCCTACCCCTAACCCCCCACGATTTCTGAGGGGGAGCGTGGGGTTCGCTTCGCTCGGGAGCTCCCGAGCGGAGTGAACCCCGCCCTCCACCCCCAGGAATCGTGGGGGGTATGGGGGTAGGGTTCGCACGTGGCCCCCTGGGGATGCCTCTCCCTCCTGGATCCTCGAACCTCCATCTTCGAACCTCCACCCCGGATCCCAGAGCCATCCTGGCTCGGATCCTCGACCCTTCCTCCTGGATCCACGATACTCGAGCCTCGAACCTCGGTTCGGCGGCGCGCCGAGGGGGTAAGCAGGAGGGAGCAGGCCTTCTCAAAGGCGGCGGGGCTTCTAAGAAGCCCTCTGAGAAGACCCCCGTAGGGTTCGGAGAAGGCTTCGAAAGCTTCTGCAAGGCCGGAAGCCTTCTGGGCCTTGTGAGAAGGCCCGACCCCTCTTGGAGGCGGCCAGGGGGTCTGAACTGGCTGGGATCCCAGAGAATCGGTCAGGAGTGGAGGATGGGACAAATACTATCGAAATCTGTCCCCAGATCCCTCCAGCGGTAAATCGAGCATTTTTTCCTCAAGATCCATTTTTGCCAGTCTTAGGCCCGAAAACAGCCCCCGAAGGCCAAAAAAGGCAAAAACCCTTCTCGAACCCAAAACCTCAAACCTCGACCCCCCCCCCCCTCCTGCTCGCCGGAGCCAGTGCTGGACCACCTCAGGACCCCAAAGCCGACTCCAGCCTTGAGGAGCAACGTCAGGGGGGGGCTGGCATAGGGGGGGAAACTTCAGCCTGGAATCGGCCAGACATCGCCGATAGATCGGCGATAGGCTTAGGTCGGGCCTGTCCCCCTACAGGGGGATTTTGGACGAGAAATAAAAAAATGACAAAAATGCTATATAATATATATATATATATATATATTATATAATGTCAAAAAAATCGTCCCCAGACTATTCTTTTGACTATTTTGCAAAATTCCCCCTGTAGAGGGACAGGCCCGACTTGACGATAGGCCCCCGACAGCGAAGACGCACGCTCCCTGGCAGGGTGGGGCTGTCAGACCTCTACCAGCGATCCATGGGCGGTGGGGGGTCGACGCAGCTCCCCCATGCTCGGCGGCGAGCGAGGGGGAGAAATGAGAAGGAGAAGGCCTTCTCAGAAGGCGGCGGGACTTCTCGGAAGCCCTCGCGCCGTCTGAGTTTCCTGCGTCCTCGGGGAAGGCTTGGGAAACTTCTCGGAAAGCAGGGGGACTTCCGAGCCTTCTGAGAAGGCCCACCCCTTCTCACCTCCCCCCCTCGTTCGCCGCCGACATGCATATCCCCCCCCCCCCTATCGTTAGGTAGGTCGGATCTTGAAAGAAAATAAAAGATACCACAACAATACACCAGAAATGTCCAAAGTAGACTATCTCTGAATGTTCCTCCTGTAGAGGGAGGGACACGCCCGACTCAACCCTATCGTTGCCCCTGAAGTCTCGATGCGCGCCGCGAGCCCGGCCCAGGCCCGGCCCGCGCGCGCCCGGCGGGGCCGGAGCGCCTGCTCGGCGGCATGCGGGGGTCCTGGCGAGGCTCTCGGCGGCGGCGGCGGCGGCGGCGGCGGCGGCGGCGGCGGCGGCGGCGGCGGCGACGACGACGACGACGACGACGACGACGACGACGACGACGACGACGACGACGACGACGACGACGACGGCGGCGGCGTCGCCGACGACGACGACGACGATATCGACGACATCTACGACGATATCGACGACGATGTCGACGACGAGATCGGCGAAGACGGCGACGACGACGACGACGACGACGACGACGACGACGACGACGACGAGGACGAGGACGAGGACGAGGACGAGGACGACGAGGACGAGGACGAGGACGAAGACGAGGACGGACGGACGACGACACGGACGACACGGTCGGGGCCCCAGCCCTGCCAGCCCGCCCGCTCGCCCCGCCGCCCCCGCCGAGGCCGCCCGCGGCGGCGGCGCCGCCGGCGCGGCGAGCGAGCCGGGCAGCGGGAGCGAGGCCGGCCGTCCTGCGATGAGCCGCTGAGTACAGCGCTCGACACCGGAGCTGGACCAGAAAACCAGCGGCACCACCCCACCTACGGCCGCCCCAGGAGACTTTTAGCGTACAGGGCAGTTCTGAATACATGGGATTTGCAAAAGCAATGCATGAAGGAAATTATGCATGAACTCATCGTTGATTCTAATACTAAATCCCTGCATTTTTGATTCATGATCCGCACGCGGAGCATGTATTAAAAACGGCACTGTATACCAGGCAATCTGGCGTGGGTGTGTCTGCGTGGTGTACGCTGCGGCCCCCGAGGGGCCGCGGCGTAAAAATGGAGGGCCGCAGGCGGGGTGGCGTCATCTGTTTTTTGGTCGACGATGCCCCGCGACATGTTCGGTGGCAACTCGTGGGAGCCTCCCATACCATCTTGTCGGCTCTTGCGGATCGACACTGGCCGACGCCGAAGCGATGCTCACCGACGCTAAATCGGCGCCAATCGACGCTAGCCGACGCTAAATCGGCCCTATCTCATCGACTCCCAGACGCCAATCGACGCGAAAGGCAGAGTTACGAGGGTACAGTAGGGGCCCGCCCACAAGAAACCTTCCCCAAGAAACCCAACCCTGAGACCCCAGGACGTCCATCGATTTCTGGCGTGGGAACGTCTTGCCTTCC